ATTCTGAGAAAAAAAGTCAGAATTGTGAGATAAAAAGTCGCAATTACATCTTTTGTTTTTATTCAGTGGTGGAAACGGGCTTCCATAATATTCAGTGGGAAATAATGTAGGGTGCAATCAAAAAATATGAATCTTAAGGCAGTAATTGTGGTTAATTTTGTTTTTCCTGCCCTTCACACATAGCCCTGGTTACATTATTACATTACATTATTACATACAGCAAAATAGAAACATTACCTTTTAATTTGTGATTATGAAAACATTTTGATTATGAAAACAAACATGTTTGGTCTTTATAATAATATACTGATGAATCATGCACAATAAGACCAGACACAAGATAAATGGTCAATTCTGATTTCATGTTAATGTGCAATGATAGGTCAAGCACTCACTTGTCTTTGCGTCGCATGCGTCTCCGGGCCTCCTGGGCCTGGCTCTGGAGGAAGTTCTGCAGCTGGAGGGTGTCACACATAGTGGGGATGATGAAGTGGCCCATCTCATGCAGGTAGGGGGTGGAGCGGTCACTATGGCAACAGAACAGAATAGAAAAAACAATGATTGACGGAACATTAAGCAGTACAAAGACTTCCAAGTGAACAGTGAGGATAAATCAGTCAGAAATACGACAGAAATTAATAGAACACAGGGAACCACAGGGATAACACTATACCAATCAGCTACAGTCTGTTGTTAACTGTCCAGTATGGTCTCTCTTCTGTTTCATTTTTTATGCTTATCTTGTCTTTTTAGTGGAATACTATTCTTTACAAAAAGAACATTTCCACAGCAACCCATTTAAAGCTACAGTGCTTCATTTATTGTAATGTCACTTGCTGCACTCTTAGGGCCTGTTCACATCAAGATATCAATGATAACTACACTGATACTATATTGGCATCTACAACAACAGATTGTATGGTCTGTTTGTTCTAAGCACACACTACAGTTATTTTCTGTTAAAATATCAAAAGTCAGGTGGATTCTGATTGGCTGATGGCACCAAAAGAAAGGTAAATAAATAATCTGACATGAAAAAAACGGCTGCAATATAACAAAGAGTGAAAAATTTAAGGGGGTCTGAATACTTTCCGTACCCACTGTATATGTTTATTTAAATTGTATTTTGAAGTGGCTTCGATGGAGAACAGGCGTTTTGGTCAAAAGTTTGGGATCAGTAAGACTTGTGATGCAAAGCTGAATTTCCATCAGCCATTACTCCAGTATAAACTGTCACATGATCCTTCAGAAATCTGTTGAATCCTTGCTGAATAAAAGTGTTAATTTCTTTCAAAAAAAGAAAGAATAAAAATTTACTGACCCCAAACCTTTGTACGGTAGTGTACATTGTTAGAAAATATTTCTATTTTAAAATAAATACTCCTCTTTTTAACTTATTATTCATCAAAGAATCCTGAAAAAAATTATTGCAGGTTCCAAAAAAATATACAAAAGATTGCCATTTCAACACTGATACTTTTTTTTTTTTTTTTACTTTTTGTTCTATTAATCAAAGAATCATGAAAAAAAACAATTTCCACAAAAAATATTAAGATGCACATCTGTTTTTAACATTGGTAATAATAAGAAATGTTTCTTGAGCACAAAATCAACATATTAGAATGACTTCTAAAAGACTATGTGACAACGAAGACTGGAGTAATGACTGCTGAAAATTAATATTATTACAGAAAATGTTAAAATAGAAAATAGTTATCGATTGTAATAATGTTTCACAATATTACTCGTAAAAACATATATATATATATATATATATCATCGAATGCTGAGCATAAATGATTTCTTTAAAAAAAAAATAAATAAAATACCAACCCCAACATTTTGAACAATAGGGAATATTATAAAAAACATTATATTATTTTTTCTCTTCTTTAATTATGTCATAAGAAAAGAAAAGTTGGTTCCGAGGTGGAGAAAACTATTTCCTGATCCAACAATCTGATACAAGAATTCATTTACTTTGTGACTTGATTTCATGTGAACTTTAAGCTTGTTTTTCCGAAGAGATTAGCCTGCTCATATGCACTATTCAAGCCTAGTATCACTGAGACACAATTTGGACCTTACCTCACATTCTTGAAGGTCATAAACACAGACAATACACACAAACAAATGGCTGGAATTGAAGTATACGAGTATTTACTTTTCCAAGCTCATTGTGAGGCCTTGCATGCTGCGGGGGTGCAGGGAGAGGCGCTGAGGCAACAGTCTCTTGTGGAAAGTGTTGAGGGTACTGTAATGTTCCTCCAGAGGCAGAGCTGGACCCATCCGCTCGATGTGGATCACCTGAATCCCTCCCAAAAGGTGACTGATGCACTCCTTCAGCCAGTCCGACTGCTGGAACATGCTTCTGTAACTAGGCAATCTTTCAAAGAGCTGAACAAACACACGGACAGACACAAACACATGCATCTTAGCACAAATGTTTGTTTGTGTTGAGAATACGGTTAAGAATACCGTAAGACTGGTTTAATAAATAAGCTGTACCTTTGTCCATTGATGGTGGACATCCATTGTTCCTAACATAACATGCCCCGAGGCATTCATCCCTGATTGGTCAGTAAAAACTATTACATGCCCTGGTTTGGAAAAGAACGAAATTTGAGTAAACATTTGTGCACACTGAACATTTAAGCCATCTAATTTCATCTCATGAATCCTATTTTCATGGTTACCTCTCAGGATGTGCAGAGCCTCAGGGCTTTGTGTGGAGAGACGACCCAGACTCTGCAGCTGACAGCATTTGTGTGCAACTCCCCATTTGCGCTGCCACCTACAGGACAGAGAACCACATGATCAACGTGAATATACTGACAACAGAACTGAATACTCTGTCCAATAGTTTTACACATGCCAACATAAGCAGACATACAGTACCATTCAAAAGTATGGGGCTGGTATTTGCATTTTACAGTAAAATACCGTAAAAATATTGTGAAAGTTTCTGTTTTAATATATTATAATATGAAATGTTTTTCTGAGATGGCAAATCTGATTTTTCAGCAGCCATTACTGCAGTCTTCGGTGTCACATGATCCTTGAGCAATCATTCTAATATGCTGATCTTTCATTATCTTATACATTATAAACTGTCACTTTTGATCAATTTAATGTGTCCTTGCTGAACAGAAGTCAAAATCTTACTGACCCCAAAAGTTGCTAGGATGATTTTAATTGAAAACCTCATTGATGGGCCATTTTTGCTTGTCCAGTGCATAGACTTTTTACATTTCTTTCCATAATAACATTGTTTTAAATCCTTTCTATAATAAATTTAAATTCAAGAAATTTATACTAAATAACTCTTAAAAAGATTGATAAAAATCAAATTTTTAACCCATTTGGTACCTAGCCTATGTGTACCATTTGTAATAGATGCAGTCACTAATCTTTTCAATTTCACTTCCTGTTCACTTCATGAACAGCTTGAGGTTTAAGAAAATACAATATTTAATAAGAAATGGAAAAATGTATTTCACAAAAACAAACAAACAACACCCCATAAGATATCATCTAAATAATTAATTAATGCCAAAAGTAAGATTTTGCAGACCATAAGAGCATATATTCGGAGTTAGAGCTGACCTGATATCCAACAAACCAAGTTTCTGAATCAGCTCTCTTTTCAGTCTTTTCAGCTCCTCACGCCGTGGAAGACTGGCATTCTGTTTCTTTGTGGCCTCCGGCTCATTGTTTCTCAGCCATAAACTGAATATAAAGACAAACAAAAAAAGCAAAACAATGTTTCAGATCTGACAATGAGTTAAATGAAACACTATATATCCTACAATCATTAAAGAATAGTGCCAATGAACTATGCCTGAAATAACACACCTTTGTTCATATATTATATATAGTATAGTCCTACATGTGTGTTCTATATCAGGTCTCCAAAATCCTTTCTAAAGATGTTACAAAGCACAAAGTTCCTTGTCTCAAATGGGTCAGGGAGTACACCGCAGTCGGGTTAAGCTTTAGCCAATTCCAAGCCTCAGTGTTTGCAGAGCTTTAATCTCAGGCTGTGAGGTCCACTGAAAGGTTTCTGTTGAGCCTGGGCTCATCCGTGGTTCAATGTACACATTTCTGCTTTTACTAAATGGCACAAAAACCATTGTGGAGTCATTAATCATAGTAAATACAAAGAATGGCTTGAGAACATTGTGTTCTGTAGAGCAGTGGTTCTCAAACTTTTTCAGCAGAAGGCCCCCTTGTGTAGGGTGAATCCTTTTGTGGCCCCCCCCAAAAGAAAACTCATGACGCAAAACATCCCCAAACTTACAATTTACTTAAAAATTTTAGATTGTACCAAAAACAAATGAATTTGTACAATGCCGGAACATAAATTATGTTTGTAGCCTTATTTCTCTGATGTTGACTATACAAAATTTGTTCAATTCTTAAATTTCATAAAATATAACAAATTGTTATAAAAATTGTCTGAAAAGTGCAACAAAAGTATTGAATACTGAACAGTAATTTATGATGTCCATAGTAGAAGATGAATACTGAAAAGTGAATTTACATGTACTTTGTAAAAAAGTGCATTGAACTTCTTACATTTTGATGTAGTAAAATGACAGTGGCTAAACAGTTTGGTTTGCGATTTGAACAGCAATCTGATTTTTTTCAACAATCTTTTTTTCTGCAAGAAACAAAAAAATGTCTACTCTACTTAAAAAGAAATAGGTTTACAATATAAAAGAAATATACAATATTATACAAGTTTTACAATATAAAAGAAATCATGCAATGCAGACACATCAATTTAGTAACCACTGTACAAGTACACACAACCTGCCTTAGTGGGAAGGGTGAGACTGTCTTTCTTTGCAGAGCTTATCAATTCTGGGTGTTATTGGGGACAGGCAAACTCTCAAGTCATCTTCCACATTAAGCCGTGCCCTGTATTTTGTCTTTATTGCCATCATGGCTGAGAAAGGTCGTGACTGAAATGTTCATTCAGTGAGGTGAGGTGACTGGTAATGGTGTTGAGCATGAAGTCCACTCCCATGCAGTTTGTATCCAAAAATTCAGATAGATCTGGAAACATGTCAGTGATACCTCTTTGTAGTTTATGTACCCACAGGTCAGTTTTTCTCCTGAATGCATTTATTTTGTCACTTGCCTCCAATATTGTGGAATAACATCCCTGAAGGGACAGATTCAGTCCATTGAGACTACTGAAAATGTCTGCAAGGTATGCCAGTTTTGCCATCCACTGTTGGTCAGAAAAAAAACAGTCGATCATGAGCTGCCCCCATCTCTGTGCATAGTTTTGCAAAGAGACGTGACTTCAGCGGTCTTGACTTCACGAAGTTGACAGCCGCTACTACTACTTCCAAAACATCATGCAGGTCGGGTGCCATTGACTTGGTGACAACTCCACTCCTGTGCCCAGTCATTGCTGCCGCACCATCAGTGCAAACAGACACACATTTTACCCAACTCAGATGTTCTTCTACCATGAAAGTGTCCAACATTTTGACAATTTCCTCACCTGTAGCTCTCCTCTTGAGTTCTTTTGAAAATAAAAAATCTTCCATAATTTTACTGTCCCATAAATATCGAACGTACACTAACAACTGTGCAGCGCTGCTAACGTCAGTGCATTCATCAAGCTGAAGCGCAAACTGCTCACACAATCGTAATCTTTCGGTCAGTTGAGATTTCACATCAAAAGAGATGTCTTTGATCCATCTGCTTACTGTATCGTTGGACAGCAGTATGGATATAATCTTGTTCGTGGCCTCCTCCCCGACCATCACTCTGCACATATCCACTGCTGCTGGAAGTATTAATTCCTCCCCGATCGTGTGAGGCTTTTTACATTTGGCTATTCGCAGGGCTGCAAGATACGATGCTTGCTGTGCTTTCTCAGGTATTGTCGTGATGTTAGTCAGTCGTACCTTTTGCTTGATGTATTCTTCTTTCTTTCTCTGGAAAAAAGCCTTACTTTTATTCGCATGCTCCGGATGAATTGTTGTGAGATGTCTGTTGAGTTTATATGGTTTCAGCGCTTCTACGGATAAAATCTTCAAGCACAGCGTGCACTGTGGTCTGCCGTCACTATATTCCATAAAGCCATATTTTATGTACGAGTCGTCAAATTTACGCAGTTTCGTTTATTTCACGCTAGGCTCTTCTGTATTAACCTTCTCAGCTGAGAGACTGCATCCTCTATCTAAAAACTTATCCATTTTAAAGAGTCTTAGCATTTATCAGCGTGTTCATGGCTAACCGTTCTGCGCACTAGTACTTCAACGGAGCGTTTCCGTAGTGTGCTGCGTATAATTGATATTATTTTATTATTATTAAATACATCATAGTTTACATAGATTGACAATCCTGACTTACATACAGGTAAAATATTTTTTTATAATAATTTCCTAATCTAGATTCTAGAATTTCTATGCGGCCCCCCTAGTGCCATCTGGTGGCCCCCAGTTTGAGAACCACTGCTGTAGAGAAGGACAAGGCTAATTGTAGAAACACAAACAAGGTTGCTGGTGTGACACTAAAAATGCCAGCTGGGCTCTTTCTGGCCGCTGGTGTCTCAACAGTCCTACAAAATTTCAAGTTGAATATTAACCAAACTTTTGTGCAGCTGCTGGAGACCTCATCTAGCATTAAGATAGTCTAACACATTAAGCAGTGGTGTTCATATGGGTTACATGAGTTTGGGAAAAAAAATGGTGGTCTCTCTCTCAGTACCTTAGTGTGGGCTCGACTCTTCTGGCTTGTTCTAACTCCTGCTCTGGGTCCCTGAATCCTGTGAAAGTGTAATAAGTCTTGTCCCATTTGATGGGACAATAGAAAGCTATTCCAGGCTGTTGTGTCGAGCTCTTCTCGGTCTCAGCCTTGAGCACATCTTGCATATGTTCAACCGAGAGGCTACAGGAGCTCAGAACATCCAACACTGTGCTCAGAACATCCTTAGACTGCAGGGTGAAGGTCACCGGACGGAATCCTGGGAAATGTAGGGTTATCCCATTAAAAGCATGCATTGAAAAACAGAATAAAGATTACTGTTTCAAGTTTTAAAAAATAGGTAAGATTAAAATATTCATTCAATACATTTTAAAATCCATTTATTCCTTTGATGGCAAAGCTGGATTTTCAGCAACCATTACTCAAGTCTTTAGTGTCACATGATCCTTTAGAAATCATTCGAATATGCAAATTTAAATGTTAGAAAAATCTCTTTTATTATCAATCTTGAGAACTTGTGGATATTTTATGAAGTAATCATTTAATTAAAATAGAAATCCTTTGTAACACCATAAACATTTTGTCACATTCGATCAATTTAAAGCATCCTTGATTTAAAAAAAATAAAATACTGGCGAAATGAGATAAAATAAAAGACTTTTGTTCAGGGAAAAAACAATAACAATGGTACAACTATTATAAAAGTTACTGCATGACTTTAGGTGACCTGGAATATAGTGCATGAGTCAGATGGTCTAGTTTTATTCATTAATTTATTAGTAGTAGTAGTAGTAGTATTATAACTATTATTATTATTATTAGGAGTAAAAATCACAGTGTTAATCAAAGGTGAACTGGTGTTACCTGAGGCTAGCAGACTACCACTGGAGTCTGCTTTTTCTTTTGTGTCCCTGACATAAAAAGTGAGGTTTGCAGGTTTGAGGGATCTTGCCCCAGGCTTCTGAAGATTTTCCAGATAACCATTTAGCCTTTTGAGGGAGTTTTCATTGACTTCCTACAACAGAGAAAACAAAACAAATCCAAACAATATAAAACACTCACACCTGCTCTGCAGAGGGAAAAGGTATATATATATATATATATATCAAATATTATTATCATACATTGCCATTATGTAGTTTATGTATATAATAAAAATTCTATTCAGGGCTTATAATTATGATAGTCACATGATCCTTTAGAAATCATTCGAATATGCAAATTTAAATGTTAGAAAAATCTCTTTTATTATCAATCTTGAGAACTTGTGGATATTTTATGAAGTAATCATTTAATTAAAATAGAAATCCTTTGTAACACCATAAACATTTTGTCACATTCGATCAATTTAAAGCATCCTTGATTTAAAAAAAATAAAATACTGGCGAAATGAGATAAAATAAAAGACTTTTGTTCAGGGAAAAAACAATAACAATGGTACAACTATTATAAAAGTTACTGCATGACTTTAGGTGACCTGGAATATAGTGCATGAGTCAGATGGTCTAGTTTTATTCATTAATTTATTAGTAGTAGTAGTAGTAGTATTATAACTATTATTATTATTATTAGGAGTAAAAATCACAGTGTTAATCAAAGGTGAACTGGTGTTACCTGAGGCTAGCAGACTACCACTGGAGTCTGCTTTTTCTTTTGTGTCCCTGACATAAAAAGTGAGGTTTGCAGGTTTGAGGGATCTTGCCCCAGGCTTCTGAAGATTTTCCAGATAACCATTTAGCCTTTTGAGGGAGTTTTCATTGACTTCCTACAACAGAGAAAACAAAACAAATCCAAACAATATAAAACACTCACACCTGCTCTGCAGAGGGAAAAGGTATATATATATATATATATCAAATATTATTATCATACATTGCCATTATGTAGTTTATGTATATAATAAAAATTATATTCAGGGCTTATAATTATGATAATAACTATTTAATTATTATTACTCTCTCTCTTGGATGCCGGCCAAAGAAATCAGGGTGTACTGCAAAGTAAAAGGGCCGCAGGGCATTAATGGCATCCGCTCCTGAGAGATTCCTCATCTGAACGATACGAGCAGAAACACATCTACCACCAAGCCTGTAAGAATGAGGATGATATTGATTAGATAAAGATTTTCAACAAAATCTTCTTTGCAGCTGTCTATAACGACTATAATGTGATAGAGTTTCCATTTTTTACGGGGGGTTTTTTGGGTAAAACTTACCTAACATAACGCAGGAAGGTGGTCACATACATCACGTTAGTTCCTTCTGGTAAGAGAAATCAAGGCACATGAGAAAGGAAAAGCATGACAGACTTCAGCCTCTTCAACTAGTCAAAATCAGAGGACAAACGTTATACTGCATGTCTAGAGGGTCATTTCAGGGCTAGACAATCATATTCCCTCATGCTATATATATATATGTACACCTGACCACCTTCCTAATATTGTGTTGGTCCCCCTTTTGCTGCAAAGACAGCCCTGACCCGTTGAGGCATGGACTCCACTAGACCCCTGAAGGTGTGCTGTGGTATCTGGCATCAAGATGTTAGCAGCAGATCCTTTAAGTCCTGTAAGTTGCGCGGTGGGGCCTCCGTGGATCTGACTTATTCGTTCAGCACATCCCACAGATGCTCGATTGGATTGAGATCTGAGAAATTTGGAGGCCACGTCAACTCCTCAAACTCGTTGTTGTGCTCCTCAAACCATTCCTGAACCATTTTTGCTTTGTAGCAAAAGGTCACGGTGTGCAGAGGCCACAGCCACCAGAGAATACCGTTTCCATGAAAGGGTGTACATGGTCTGCAACAATGCTTAGGTAGGTAGTATGTGTCAAAGTAATATCCACATGGACGGCAGGCCAAGGTTTCTCAGCAGAACATTGCCCAAAGCATCACACTGCCTCCGCTGGCTTACCTTCTTCCCATAGTGCATCCTGGTGTCATATGTTCCCCAGGTAAGCAACGCACACGCACCCGGCCATCCACGTGATGTAAAAGAAGATGTGATTCATCAGACCAGGCCTCCTTCTTCTATTGCTCCGTGGTCCAGTTCTGATACTCACGTGTCAACTGTT